AAGCATTTGACATCAGCGTACACTTAGATCAAAATTTTAAAAAGCAACTAGGATCCTAATTGCCATTTTAAAAAGTGATTTTGTCATTTAGAGTTAGTTTTACAAAAGTACTTCAGGTCCTAGTGAGATGTTGAAAAGTTCATAAGCAGTGCCTAACACCTGTTGAATGTAACACTTTACAAAAATAAAGTCAGGGAGAGTTACACCACTTCCCATGATCAGATTTGTTCACAAAAGGCAAATTGAAGTCCACTTTTAAAAGGATCAGAGCCCTCCAATCACATCTGCAATTTGGAAGCAGCAACCCCCTGTTTAAATTTAGCCACATATAACTTTTTTGCCCTTATCCTAGGATTTCTAAGTACAGAGATTAAATCTCTGCATTTAGTTTTTAAGAAGAGCTATCAAACTTCAGCATACCCCTATCCCCAGGTATCTAAAGCCATTTGTCTGTTTCCTTGATAGGTTCACCTTGAAGCCACATACTAGTTCATACTCTGCCATAAAAAAAAAAAAAAACCCTAAGGATCTGCTGCAAAATGGCCATATTAGTTATGTAAAGTAATATATCATCTGTGAACAGGATCAATTTGTGCACACTAAAGCCTATTTTAATCCCACTAATGCCCAAGTTGTCCCTTATGGCTATCGCAAGTGTCTTAGTTGTTAGCGTGAATGGGGAGGATGAGGGGCGGGGGAGATAGAAGTCATTCTCTATCTTGTGTTCCACCTAAAGAAAATGAGGAGGGTGTGGGCCATGCACCCGTGTGGGAGTGTTCCACTGTTGAACAGAACAAGGATAACTCCCATGATTAGCAATTGGCTCCTTATTCTGTCCATGTTTCATAAGTGAGTGAAGGAAAGGAATGAACTGGTGGAGAATGGCTTCTGGGGGTCATGAGCAGGGGTGAAGCTCTCAAATTATGGGACTTCTTGTTCAGCTGCTTTGGTGTTTGCATTATTTGGTGTTTGGAAATATTCATGTGAGCAAAATTTCATTCTCTAGAATAGTTGTGTAAAGGAAGCTTTACATGTATATGTGTCCATATGCCAGTACTTATGTGAATGTATATTTGTATGAGCATTCACACTGTAAGTGTTCATGCTGGTCTCTTGATAACTGTTTTTATGTATAGAAGTCATCCAGTTAAGGAGCACAAACAATGCAATATTCCTTAGGTGATCATTCACAAAATGCAATTATGAATAGCACCTACTTGAAGCAACAAATTATTCATGATCCATCTTTAGCTGAAATATGTTCATATAAATCCTTTGTTGAATACATTTGAGTATAAAAGCCTATTGATGTGTAGTTTTAATAGAAGATGGCTATGTTGATCAAAGAAATTGTTGGCTCTAAATGGTTTGTTCAGGGTTTTTTGGTATAGTGCCTTGAATTTCAATGACTGCTTTCTTGTTGTGTGATGTCATGACAGTTGGAACATGGTGTTCAAGCAGATAGTTTTCTAATTTAATTGTGAGAGGTCTGGTGTCAGCTCATTCTAGATGGAGGATCCTGCACCCTGGAATGCACCTCCCCACTTTGGTCTGCTAGAACTCATGTTTCCAAGCCTTAACTAGTTTACACATGAAGGAAGAATTGTTTGAATTTGGGGTAATGACCAAAGGTTTCAGTCTTTAGACATTAGTCCTATTTTGGAATTTGTTTAATACCTTTGCATATTTTTAGAGCTTTTGATGGGTACATTTTAACTAATCCTAGTGAGGAACAATTGTTTACTTCCCTGTTATATCAAGCCCTTATTGTATTAAAAAAGAGTAAGGAGAGAAGGTCAGAAATTTACATGCCATGCTATGGCTAATGCATTTTGGTTTTTTTATATCAAAAGATAAAGTGGTGGGTTTTCCTTTAAATATCATCCTAGTGCTGTTTTATTTTAAGATGCCAAGAAGTTTTTTTTTTCCAGAATTGTTCAATAGTAGATGATAGAATTAAGACTTGTAGATTTTTTTCCCCTTAGTATGACAGTGAACACAAAATTTGGATGTGAAAAAACATGGAAGTTGTCTAATAGTGAAACTATATTACTTCAAACAGCAAGATCAATATGCATTTTAATCTTTCCCTTATATTTTAAATGTTTTGATCAGTACAATAAAAGTAAAATCAAATGTTATTTTCTTAGCATGCTTTTTCAGAAATTACCTTAAGTACTGTACTTTTGCATGTATTCATTTCCATAGTTTCCTATTTATTTCTTCCCCAATGACCTCTAATTTGTCATCTTTATAATGTAGATAATGTTTTGTAGTGGTACTCTCATTAGGATGTTGCAACATTACATGTTTTCTACTTATTGGTGTTTGAGATGTACAACTAAATCTAGAAGATGAAGCATGAACTGTGAAATGACAACTAAAAATGGAATATAATTATTGAATTTGTGGCCTTTGGGTTAATGTCAAGTGTTGTATCAGTTTTAATATCTGATCTTTTTTATCTCAAAAACTTTATGATCTAAAAGAAACATGCTTGTATATTATAACTTAAGTGAAGTTTACCCTGAAGTCCTCACATGTCAAGTCTTCTTAATTATAGTTGTGAAAAAAACATTCACAGATTTGGAGGTTTGGACCCCATTCCTGCAAATACTCATGTATTATGAATAGTCCCATTGAAGCCAGCGAATCGAGGTCTTTACAGTCAGATAATAATCTAGGGTCTCAGTCCTGTACCACTGAAGCCAGTGGGAGCTTTTACATTGATTTCGGCATGAGGTGATCAGAGCCTAGATGATATAGAGATGTTTAATCCAATATATCAAAAATCGTTTCCACTTCTTTCAGTCCTTTGTCAGGCCCAATCTTACTTTACTTCTCTTATCAAATTGAATCAATAATGTATTTATGGGCTATGTCGCTGTATCTAAGTGATGAAACACTGGAATCCTTGAGACACACACCCATGGAGACCAGCTTCCCTTGTCTTTGGCAATTTCATACATTGTGGCGTTTAAGTCACCACCATGAGCACTGCCATCCATACTGCCATGGGAGGCTGTGCCATCCATATTTCAAATCCTTGTCACTAATATTACTCTGAACTCTATCATCTTTTTTTACTTATATGTGTAAACCTTCTGCCAGGTGGAATCAGCAGTAACCAGGGGTGGGTTCAATATCTAAGGGTTCCTTTTCAACAATACAACACACAGAACCAGCTCAAGCCCCCACCCAGTAACCTGGGAAAATTACACACTGACCTGGGCGCCTCTATGAGGCAATACTTCCCCTCGCACAAGCAGAGTGTCTGAGTGTAGGAAGTTACCCAACATTGAATAGAGAAAATGCTGTAAGCAGAATTCATAAACATAAAACCGTGAGCAGGACACCCATCCCAGAGTGCGTGTTGCAGTGTCTTCTGCTTCATTTTCTTGAGTCCTACAACCAAAATTTCCTTTATTGTGCCCCTCTCTGCTTTCTCACCACACAGTGGTTGTCCTGGGTCAATGAGGACCCAGGGTTCAAAGGTGCATGTGTGTAAGTTCACCTCCCACCCGGGACAGGGAGAAGGCACCTTGATTGCTCCACCTCTGAGCACTGGCTCTGGCTGGCTGCCCTGCCATCCGCTGCTCTGCACACAGTCACCTTCTACCATCTGCTTCTATACTACGACCTCTGTAGGTCAGTCATTTGAGGTTTCCCCCCAACTCCTAATGATATGCAGTTCTCAGTGATTGTCAGCTACCAGTGGCGGAACTTAAGCAGGCTGGGCAGAAACGCTCTCCTGGCAACAAGTGATTTCAGCGTTAGTGAGCATTTAACAAAACAAAAGACTCCTAATGGAACATTACTTAGCTCTGTCTTTTAAACAGTGGGGAGGAGCAGATTAAACCATGCCTGGGGCTCTGAGATAGAGCCCACCTCCTGCCATGGACACCTGTCTCTACCCCCTCTTATTTTCACTGGGTCTAGCATTCGGTCCACTGGCTTAGCTAGTTCCTTTCAGTTGAGGGTGACCCCTCAGTCAGGCCAGGCTAAGCAAAGTTCTGCTCCCCTTTGCTCATACAATAAAGATAACAACATTGATAATATTTCACAACACCTGCATTCAATAATAAAGTGATTTGTAACCCAGGACTAGCCAAAGTTGATCACTTTGGGCAACACAGCTTTGTCTGCTGGGTACCAAGGCAGATTAGGAATGTTTATGTAAATACAGTCTGCTCCTGAAGTCTTTCCCCCTCCCCAGGTAGCTGTCAGAGGAAAGCTCATGCAGACCCTGCTTACATACATATGTTTAGAAAAATATTATTGTTATTATTATTATTATTAATTATTATTATTTTATTATTTTATTTTGAAAATCAGATTTTAATAATGCAAGATGCTTTAAAGGTTAAGACTGCATATAACTTAGAAGGTTTTCTTGAAGACTTAATAGTTCCATGGCATTGGTTTCAGATTTTGAGAACTGAGCATGAAAACAGTTAAAATATTACCTTCCATAAGTCCTCCATACCATCCCCTCTTCTGTCCTCCATGCAGCCTGACCTAAAAACTACCTGAGGTATAGGTCTCACTGGCATGGCCCACTCAAAACACATTTTTTGTATGTGTGGTTTTTTTTAAGCCTGAAAATTACATTTGGCCAACTTGAGGTTTTATAAGAGCCTGAAAGACTCTAAGCCAAACTGCAAGCATTTGATTTGCCTGATAGATATATTTTAAGACTAGGACCAATTTAAAAAAATCCCATTGTGTGATCTTGCTTCACAAATTTCTGCAACTATCTGGATCTGTACTACCTACAAATCAGCTGTTGATGCACAATGAAGAGTTAACTCTGATTCCCATATGCCACAAAGGCTGGCTTACACAATAATAAATGTTGGTGTTAAGGTTGTCATCTGACCATCATACAGCAGTTTAGCATTTATTTATTACTGGCTTGTTTGCTAAAATCCCATTTGGCAATTGTTTTCTTATGTAGACACACATACAGGAAATAATATATATCTTAATCTCTTTTTCAGGTTGCTTGGAATTGAAGGAGGACACCATTGAAAACCTTCTGGCAGCTGCATGCCTCCTTCAACTCCCACAAGTAGTAGAGGTTTGCTGCCATTTTCTAATGAAGCTTTTACATCCATCCAACTGTTTGGGAATACGAGCATTTGCTGATGCACAGGGGTGCACAGATCTTATGAAGGTGGCTCACAGCTACACCATGGTAAGGCAATTCCAGTGTATTTCAATTATACTAATGTGAATAATATATATTATTTTCAAAGTATCTCACTAGCATTTGAGATACAATTCGGTTGCCATTACTTTTATTGAATAGTCCCATGCTCCACAAGTGATCCTATTAAAGCCAGCGGGGATGCTTGTGGTGTGTGGTACTGAAATGGAATAAGGTCATCAGAATCTCACCCTGAATGTGAATGAATTAACTGCTAAGACACTGTTCAGGATGTGCTGTAAATCACAGTAGCATACCATTTCATGAGGTTCAAGTTTATTTAGTGAAAATGAAACTTAAGGCCTCAAAATATTTTTAATAAAGGTTTCTATTGTGCCTGCTTTGGATATAGGGAAGCTTTATGCTTAATGATATTCTTCAGTGTATTTAAGAATTTTAGTAGGCAACATTTTTCTACATTGATTCCGATTAATTTCTAATAATGTTAATGTGATGTCAGCCTGTGGGGTGTCATTTAAAGTTCTGTATGATATAAAATCTGTAATTCTTTTTTTAAAATGATCATTTTAATCATTAATGCACATGAGAGGGAAGAGGAAAGGCAAAATGAAATCTCTTCAGTGTATTTTTTTTGCCTTTTCTCTTCTCTCTCATGTGCAGTAATGATTACAATAATCATTTAAAAAAGAGCTACAGATTCTATATCATACAGTACTTTAAATGACACCCACTACAATCCACAGGCTGACATCACATTAACATTATTAGAAATTAATCAGACTCAATGTAGAAAAAATGTTGCCTACTAAAATACCAAAGCCTATCTGTAGTCATTTAATTCTGCATGGTTTGCTGCAATTAAGGACATCTGGCTCATGAGATTAGGTTTACATGGAGACTAGATCACCTATCACCTCTAGAGAGATGATGGTCCCTTCTGGTCTAGATTGAAATTATTAGTGAAATAATAGGAATGTTTTTGATGCAGCTGCTTGGTTTCTCCAGCCAGTTCTTCATTTTAAAAAGCACACTTCTTCTATTGCATGATTATTAAGTACCATATAATAACACAGAAATTTTCAGACCACTAATGCTGATGGGATTATATGCATGTGAATATTAATATACCATTACAGAAGTTTCAAAATATGTATTGAAACCTCTGTGCCTTAGAATGTAAGTTCCATGGGTCAAGAACTTGGCACTTAGTTAGTGCAGATATTGACCTTTGTAATAATGTACTGAACATATGAAAATGAAATTCATTTCATTATCTTTTTTTTTTTTGTCATTACACTTGTTTGATTTGGTTTGATTTTGGAGTTTCTTGTTACTGCAGAATTGATTGTTCATATCTGATATATGTAATTTACTTCAGTGTTTATTTTGAACCTGTTTCTGAGATATGAGTAGCTTATGCACCGATCCTCAGAGACAGGGGACCTGATCTTCAAGCTGTTAAGCAAACACTGAATTTCATGCAATGGGAAAATTGCCGTAGAGAAGACTGTAGGCCAGCAAGGAAACCAGTTGTAACTAATAAGTTGGCTTTTATCTTAAGTTACTTTGTCTAGGTGGTGAACTCTAGAAGTACATTTCGAAGGCCACATTTTCAAAACCAAGACCCAAGCTGCATGTGTAATTGTAATTGCATATGTAGCTACATTATGATGGCTGCTTTTGAAATCATGATAAATATGCAAATATGCACAAATTGGTATGTGTATTATTCTGTGTACATAAATGATCCTCTAACTCATGGAAAACTTGATCCTATACATGTCTGATTACTTGATAGATGAAATACAGAGTCACATTTATGCATCTTTGCAAAATCAGTTTTTTGCATAATAAGTAGTTTGTAATCCTTTAGCTGTAGTGTTTTACATTACATTTTTATTTTGTAAAAGTTTAACGTTTTTAGAGGGCCGAACAAATTAATAATGATTTGTTATGAATGTTTCTGACTTCAAGGCTATAGAAAGGATGAATGAATGCATACTTTCAAGATTCAAGTGTGTTTACTTTTCATGAAACCAAAAGGTAATTTCAGGCATGAAAAAATAATGAAACAGGTGAAATGATTTTCTCTAGCTAATTTTCTTAATTACAAGACCTAAATAATTTCTCATATGAGCTACAGAACTGTCAGAATATCAAGCATAATGGAAAAAGCGGGGAAAAAGTCAGGGACAAATTTGGAAAACACTGCAGACCTTCAAAGGCTTTTGTAAAGTTAAAGAACAGGGTTTTTTAAAATTAATTTTTAAACTTTTTTTTCAAACTTCAGAAACATTGTACTTGTGACTGGATATTTATCACTAAAATTATTATATTATACCAAGTGAATGAGTAGGGAATCAGAACTGACTACATGGACCCTTAGAGAATGTAGAACTGGTAATCCAAAAGACAATATATTTTATTAATGGGTCATAAATATCAACCAGCCAAAGAATAATGACAGCAAATGAAATGATGCCAAAAATTGTCTTCAAAAGTTAAAAGCATTCTTATACTGAGCTAGTACCAAGAAATTCTCATTCTCAGTATCTTATATCTGTTAAACATTATATTCTCCAAGTGATAACCCCCTTGTTGATCATTTCTGCTTTGGTGTTTTCCCTATAGTGACATGATATATTTTACTTTGTTTTAAAAATTATGGGATGCTGCACCTAAAGATTCATAAATTCATTACTAATTTAGTTCTCAGTCACTGAATGTTCAATTTTCATTATAATATATTTTTTTATTATAAATGGGGGGCGGGAATGTCAATAAACTCTAACTTGTCAGTTTGTTTTTATAAGCTCCATTCTCCCCTATTGGAGAACAGCTCAATAGGGGAAAGGAACTCTGTGAGTTGACAGTCATTTCATTTTTCCCATTCTTGTCACAAAGATGGCAGTCACTGTCATGGAGGAAGATGGAATTTCAACCCTTCTTCAACCATGAATTCTGGAGGAGCCACAGGAGCTGGGGTGCATTGGCATAGATGGCCTTGTAGTCACCTTGACACTAAATCCCACCAACTTTTCCCCTACCATGGCAGCATGCCTTCTGTTGAAGACATGCTTCCAAGAGCTTACGTGTACTGTACGGTTATGGGATACCCCTTAGGAGTTGGCATTGTTCCAAAGCAGAGAATGAAAAGCAGTGCAAATCCGTAAAATATAGTGCTGTTTTTAACATTTGATCCTATTGCTCAATTGTTTGGAAAAGGAGAATCTGGAGAAACACAGCTGTCTCCCTCATACTCTCCCTTCTTCCCCTTGCCCCTTCTCTTTCAGCTACCATTCAGCCCTTCTGGAGGGACTGCTGTACAGCTACAGGAAAATAGGTAGTATGCCAAAGAGGCAGAACTCCCACTTTCACAGGCATAGGCTCCTCTCCATACATGGATACATCAGGCCATTAGTATTTTCTATTCTACTGGGTCTTCAGTGAGAAATTTGACTATTATGTGCTTGGAATGCAAAAGCCAAATGGGAGACAAAGTGGGGTGGGGGGAGGGGAGGAAGGGGCAGAGAGGAAAGGTTACCAAAAACATCTATGGGGGAAAATAAATAAGGGGAAAGAAGGATAAAAGTTAGTAAAAATCAAGCAATTCAAACACAAAAGCAGCATATAGGTTTCAAATACAGCAAAATTCCAAAATATTGTTCGTCTTATTGGAGAGAGAGCGCTCTGTCTAGGGCCTTGTTATCTCCACTCTTGCCCTTGGACAATGAGTCAAATATATATTTTCAGTATGAATAAGATTTATTTTAGTTTGAGGCACCTTAGAGACTAACCAATTTATTTGAGCATAAGCTTTTGTGAGCTACAGCTCACTTCATGGGGAATGCATCCGATGAAGTGAGCTGTAGCTCACGAAAGCTTATGCTCAAATAAATTGGTTAGTCTCTAAGGTGCCACAAGTACTCCTTTTCTTTTTGCGAATACAGACTAACACAGCTGCTACTCTGAAACTTGTTATTTTAGTTTGAGAAACTCAATAAGAACAGAACTAAATTTTCATTGAGGAGCATAATGTGTGTGAACAAAATAGCTGCTGTCCCTGCAATGGTCAGAATTCTTAGATTTTTAAAGGTTAAGTGCACAGAAACCAAAGACAGTTTCATAGCTGTATTAATCACATGCGAGATGCAGAACACTTTCAACTCCAATTATATGAAATAGGAGTTGAAGTCACTCAGCACTTTTCAAGAGGTTTACAGTACTTCATACAGTTGGGCTCTTTGGTCTTAATACAGCAAAGCACCTACACACATGCTTAATTTTAAGCAGACTAGTTGTCACAGTGAAGTTATTTTCTATACACTGAACTTTTAATTTCCTAAGAATTCTGACTATGTTGCAGGAACAACCAACATTTTGTTCTTACACACACACCCCTCCTCACAGAGACTTTAATTTAGTTATTCCTTGTTGATCAGTCTGTAAACATATGGCTTCTCTTCATGCATAGAAAAGTATAAATGGGGACTACTCTAGTGATTAAGCATGTGCTTAAATCAAGTATGTGCTTAAACGCTCGATTGGGACCTTGATTTTCACAACTACAAATGATCATTCAGGATATTATGTTGATACATTTTCCTATTAAATCAGGAACAATATAGAATCTCATCACTATATTTGTTTCCCATCCTGCCCCTCAATGCCACGCCTGTCATCTTCCTATTTTGTATCAAAGATTTAATTTAAAAAAGTTGTGAGGTTTCGTGTTAATAATGGTTAATAGAAGAGCTGGTCAGAAATTTTCTGCTGCATCATTTTGATCCCAGAAAATGCTGATTTATTGAAATTGAAACATTCTGTTGTGAGCATGACATTTTTCAAAACATTCAAGACATTTCAAAACTTTCAATGGAAATCAAGCAGGTTAGAAAATTGCCTGGTGTTCACCCAACTTCTTCAAACATCAACCCAGCCTCTCAGAAACCCACCTGGTGGGTCCTTGGGAGCTTGGGGAGCATATTTCATTTCAGAAACACTGAAACATGCCAGATGCAAGAATG